AAGAGTACCAATGTCTCGTTGATGTTTGAGACTAGAGTGTCTTTGGAGGACGCCACTAGGAACCAATCGTCTATGTACGGGTAGATGGAGATGCCCTTGAGACGGAGGAAGGCCGGCAACACAATCATAGTCTTTGTGAAGACTCTTGGGGTGCTTGAAAGGCTGAATGGTAGAGCCACATATTGGTAATGGTGTTGACCAAATGCGAAGCGCAGGTATTGGCGATGGGAGGGGTGGATAGTGATGTGGAAGTACGTGTCTTGGAGGTCGAGGGTGGCCATCCAGACGTTTCTCCGGAGCAGTGGCATAATCTGCTGCAAGGACACCATGCGGAAGTGGTGGTAGGTGACATAACAATTCAGCTCCCTCAGATCTAAAATGGGTCGAACACCTCCATCCCGCTTTGGGACTGTGAAGTATCGGGAATAAAATCCCGTCCCGTGGAGGTGTGGTGGTACCTGTTCGATGGCTTCCTTCTGCAGTAGGATGGACACCTCTTCTAGGAGAGGTGGGGAAGGGGGTGTGGTGACGACTACTGGAGTGACGGGGTTCTGGTTGAATTGAATACGATAGCCCTGAGTTACAATGGACAGCACCCATTGGTCCGAGGTGATGTGATGCCAGGCTGAAAGGAAGGGTGACAGATGTGTTTGAACTGACTCGGTAGGAGGGAAGTCAAAAGCCCTGCTTGGAGGACCTTGGTTGTTTGGTGCGTGAGGGTTCTTGTCCAGTTCCGAACTTAGGATTTTGAAAGGTGGGTCTTTGACCACCAGAAGCTGTACGCGGCCTCCATTGCCTATCCGGAGACTGACGATTTGAAGTGCGTCTCTGCCAGAGCCTAGACCAGGTGCGAGGGCGATATTGTTGCCTCGTGGAAGGTGACACCCCTAGAGTGCGAGATGCCTTTATGCTCTTATCAATATCCTGGAGCATGGTATCTGTTGTGCTGTTAAAAAGGCCGAGGCCATCAAAGGAGAGGTCTTCGACATATGACATAGTATCTTGAGGAAGACTGGTATTGCGGAGCCAGGAGTGTCTCCTCAGAGCGATAGCTGAGGCCATTGTTCTGGAGGAAGCCTCTAAAGCATGTTTGGATGTGTTGAGTTGCTGCTTCACAAGAACCATGCCTTCCTTTTGAATAACCCTAGCCACTATATGCTTGTCTTCCGGAAGGTGGGTTAGGAGGTCGGAGAATATTTCCCACAGAGTATATTGATATCTGCTTATGCAGGCTAGGTAGTTAGTGGTTTTGACCCCTAACGGACCCGTGGAGTAGAAGCGTCTCCTGAATGCATCTAATTTCCTACTTTCCCTGCCAGAGGGTGCCGAGTGCAATCGTTTCGACTTGGACGAGGATGTGACGACTACCGAATTTGGTTGAGGGTGGGAAAATAAAAATTCGGCACCTGTGTCCTGGACTCTGTACATGTGGTCCAGACGTCTTGTCGACACTGGTGCTGAAGACGGCTTTTCCCATGGGGTCTTGATAGCTTGCAAGAGGAATGCGGACATGGGGAGTGCAATGGTAGTGGAGGTATCCAGTTGCACAATATCATATACAGGATCAGTAACCTGTGGCTGTTGTTGTACCACAGAAAGGCCGAGAGAGTGGGCCATTCATTTAACAAGGTCAGCATAAGAAGTAAGATTCTCGGATGGTGATATAGGGAAGTCCTCCGCGACCGCCTGGTTCGATGACTTGTGGTCAGGGGAGGTTTAAATCTCCGAAGCCTCTGAGTCAGATTCTTCATCTCCAGAGTCAGAGCAGCCCTGTTCTGGTATTTGTACTGGAGTAGCTTCGGGTTGACTAGTTAAAACTTTTGGTGGAACGATTTGGGGGGTGGCAGAACCCAGAGGTTCCACTTGATGGTGAGAAGGATCTTCAGCCGGAGGTTGAGACAGCGATGCTGAAGGTCTTGATTTATGGGGTGACCTTGATCTGTGAGCAGAGTAGGTCGAATATCGATCCCAGTTGGAATAGCCTGCAGGAGTGAGCCAGGGCATTGATGGTGGATATTTGCCATAGAGGTATCTCAGTTGGCGGTGATCCCACGACATTGGTGGTGGCAGGGGAATGAAGACTCTAGGGGATTGACTTCTAGACCGATCACGTCTCGGAGACAAAGGAATGTGCCGTCCTTGTGAACGGTCTCTCAAAACTTGCTCATCGATATCAATTGTATCGCCATGCAGGCGTGGAGGGTGACGCTGCGTGCTAGAATGAATGTGTCGATTCCGACCTGCATCAACATTGGGAGCTTCCGAAAACGTTGATGTCGACGATGGAGAAGGAGAGAGGGAAATCTCTGCACCCATGGGGTGACTTAGGAGTTCCACATTCTCGACGGCGGAGTAAGGACGCTCCAGTTGTTGAATAGGAGAGTCCAAAATTTGAATGGTAGATATAGGTGGAGGAGAGTGAGTGTCCAATATCGATCGAGCGGGCGGCACTATAGGGGCATCAGCCAGTGCAGACTCCGCTACCTTCACCTTCTTCACCGCTTTGAAGGGCTTGGAGGAACCCTTTTTTGCGGACTTCTCCTTACTTGCCTTGGGTCTCTTCTTCACCGGTGTTGAGGTGGAGGATTGCGCCTTCGATACCGGAGGCTTCGGTGTCGATTGGACGATATTAGAAGCAGACCTCGATACTGGAGCCGTCAAGGTCGAAGGTCTCTCAGAGTACATCATTGTGGTAGGATTTAGAGCGGATTCTAGGAGCGCAACTTTAAGGCGAGCAGCTCGTTTTTTCCTGGTTTGATTGGAAAATCTTGCACAGTGCTGTCACAAGTCAGGTCTGTGAGACTCTCCCAAACAAAAAATACAGAGAGTGTGGCGGTAAGACGGTGTGAGTTTACTACCGCAACGTTGACACCGGTTAAAAAAGCCCCACTTTTTCTCCATAGAATAAGAAAGTAGTGGCGAAAGAAGGGGGAGAGAAGGGAGGGGTAGAGCCCGAAGGCCAAGCTGAGGTAAACGGAATTCCCCCCCTTCAGGAAAAATAAAGTCTTTTTTTTAAAAAAAAAAAATTGTAGGTAACAAAGAAGTAACATGAAAAAGGTTAGAAAAGCGAGGAAAAAATCGAAAGAGCCGTGAGGCAAATAGCCAAAAATAGCGAACCGATCAGACCGACGGAGAAAAGGTCTTTCCAACGTGGCAGTAAGAAAGGAACTGGCGGGATGTCCGTGCCCACCCCTCTGGGCATGCGTGGTGGGGTTCCTGTGCATGCCCGAGGTCTGGGCGCAAAAATCCGTTAAAAGAGCTAGCTACAGCATCGATCGATCCAGCGCGTGTGCACTAGATCCCATGGGTGTGAAGCACAGAGACCACGTCGAAGTTCTCATGGGTTTAATGGCTCACAGCCATTTAAAGCTAACAGCTCAGTGGGTCCGCCGGTCAGCTATTAGGTTTAAATGGCTGCCAGCCAGCCATTTAAATCCAACAGCTGACTGGCCGACCCAGCACCACTCAGCTGTAAGGTTTATATGGCTGTCCTTGAACAGCTGAACCGAACCAGCCAAAAGTCCAGCAAATGTTCAGGGAAGGCACCTTCCCCCAACATCGGTTCGCAAACTCTGAACCAACCCAAGTTCAGCCCGAATTTCGGTTTGTGAGCCGGTTCATGCCCATCCCTACTTCCTAATAAGAAAGAATGGCTGCTAAAAGTTTATGATACTCTGTGAATGCTAAAATTAACTGAAATTCAATGTTAAGTTGATTTTTAAAATGAGTATTGTTTTGTACAATTATAATTCATATGATGATATTGCAATGGATTACGTATAGTATCAAAAAAAAAAATTAAAAGGAAACACTCTATTGGATCCAAGCCACTGGTTAGAAAATAGTCATGAGAAAGCAAAGAATGAGGACCCCAATTAGGAGAAGGGACAAGTGTTTTAGGACAGAAGATGTTCTGCTTATGACGTTTTCCCTTTAGAAATTCAAAGCAGTGACTCTGAGCACCTAATGAGTGCAGTTGTGCAGCTTTCTAGCTTCTCAAGTGACAAAATGACAAAGACTGACAGGATGACTTTTTCTTTTATGGAAATGTGGCAGATGTAAAACCTCTGGTTCTATTAGCACAGCCTTGCAGATAACCCAAGTTAATGTCAAATTGTATTAATGCTGCTCTGAAACATGCAGGTAAATGTATAAGCAAGCTAGTCAATCTTTGCACTTATCTGAAAGGCTGTGTTATTTATATATAGTAAATTTCAATACGTAGACTTTCTGGTTTAACAAAACATTAAATTTGTGGACAATCTTGGCAATCAGAATCATGCTTCAGACCAATTTGGCTTGGTTTCTCAAAGTCCAAGTGAAAATTGAAAATATATAAAATAAGAAATTGGTTTCTAATCATGAATCTCTGGCAGTTGCAACTAGGGGAAATAATATCTATCCAAACAGAGTCAATGGCAAAACTGAAAAATCTTAAATGTAATGACTTCACTTTTAGAATTTACATTGGGAACACTAATTCAATGCTTAACATAAAATGTCTCTTTTATTAAGAGTGTCAAGGCTCTTTTTCATTCTGTGAAATTAATGGCAATAGCAGTAAGTTTCTTCTTTGTAACCCTTGTAAAGCATTAGTTTACTAACTGTATGTTTGGTGCAAGAAGCAGTCATAGACCTCTAGGCCAGCTAAGGTCTTGCAATGTGTAAGATAAATGGGCTTGTTTGACCCCTGCATTCAGCTCTGTAGTAAAACCCATTAGGACACTAATTCTATTAATGTTATCATTTAATTAATTTTATTTAATTAAGCCCTGTATTAATTATCCAGGCCATAATATGGGATGGCAAACAGAGCCAGAAAGATTGGATAAGAATGGCACACTGTCTCCAAATAATTTTTCCCCAGTTCAGTTTTCTGTATGGCTCTTAGTTGTGTGTTTCCTAATCAATGAGAACTCCCCAACCCTGCCCCAGCATTTATAGTGCCCTACTGGCCCACTGCGGTTATCCCTCTGTGCGATCCCTCTGTGATATCTCACCTCCAGCTCCTGCTCCCTCTGCAGGGCAAACTGCTTGAAGGACTTGACAATAAGGCCAGCATTGGAGCAATCATATACAAAAATGGAAGGACTGCCCATCCAAGTCTGTAGGTCATATATGGATAATGGGATGTACTGTGTGTAGTTCTGAAAAAGAAATAAAAAGAATGCACAAGACAATCAATAACCAACAGTAGGCCTTTTGCCTCCAGTATACAGAACTACCGAATAAGTTATTTCTGTGTTCAAGGTTCATCCACTGTGTAATTGTTTAGTCTGCTGGAAAGTCATACAACTATGATAAGCTAGCTTTTGATTATGTTCATTAGAATACATTTCTTGCATTATAATGGACAGCAGGTTATCGAAGTGTTCCATATCATTAACTACATAATAAAGAGAAATAATAAAAACAAACTTTGAAATTCAGAAACGCAAATATATTTCTTTAGAAGGTACACAATTATCCAGAAGGGAAAAAAGCTCCTAATAATCAAATTCTTCATCCACATAAGTAGGAAAGAGCAAGAGGAAGGGGGGGGAGAAGGCCCCGGGGGGGAGTTATTGTTTGTCAGCTAGACAAACAACCATATGATGTATCAGTTCACAGTGAAAAAGAACATTAATAAAAAACAGATCCAGTTTGAGAAGTAACCTTATAGCATAATTTCTGCTTAACATAAACTTTACCAAATGCTTGAGGGCACAGACAACAATGTACTGTACAAGATTTCCATTGCTAGCTTGTTATACTGGAAAAATAATTCTTGCTGCTCCCCATAAAAGACTATACCTGAAGACATTGTTCACATGCTCTTTTATATTAGACAAAATGACTTTATAGCAAAATGTATGAAGAGGGAATGCACTATTGCCTGAATGACCAGAAGCAGGCAATCTTGCATCCACATAGTAGACGGTCCAGCAGCAGAACGAAGCTCAACTCTCATTGCACTGAAAGCCATGGCCAAAAAAACAGCAACACACACCTGGCATTCATACATATTTATTTATTTAAAATGTTTATATGCCTGCTTTTTTTCCTGAGCAACTCAAAACACAAGACAGGCAACAACAATATAAAAACATAACAACAAAACATTCTGTGCAGTTTTGGTGCTACAGAGCCACATAGCTACCATTGCTCCCTCTAAGCTGCGCTAGGGAGCACTGATGCACAAAATTTAAGCTGGCTGCTAAGACGTTTTAGCTTCCAGCTCAAAAGCATTTTCTCTCCATTGAAAACAATGGAGAATGGGGGCACCTCCTTTTGGGGTCCACAGAATTGGATCTCCTGGTCAATTCTTTTTGAAACTTTGGGGAGGGGATTTGAGGAGAGGCACCAACAGCTATGCTTGAAATTTGGTGCCTCTACCTTAAAAAAAAAGCCCCCCAAGCCCCAGATACCCCCAGATACCCCCAGATCGATTCCCCATTATAGCCTATGGGGCCCACTGACTATAATGGTCCCCCTAGGCTATAATGGAGACGGAAAAATAGTTTTGTTTTGTTTTTGCACATCCCTATTGTGCTTTTCAGTATAATTTGTAAGCTGCCTTGAGTCACGGGAAAAGTGGGATATAAATATTTGAATACATTAGTTTGGGCAGGTTGATAACATTTAAGCAACTTCTTGTTAGGCAGGATTCTGACAGTGATTGTTCCACCTCTGTTATACCTGACCTGTAAATCTGTCATATTTCACTAAAAAACAAACAAACCCCAAAGTAGGCTGCAAAACTCCCCCCAAGTGCTGGTATATTTTCTTTTTAATTAATATTTTATTGAATTTTAACATTCATTGTGGAGATACCAAAAATATCAGACATCAGAAGGTCACAATAAAGATGAAGCCCTTTCAAAATTGCTACAACAGAAAAAACGCGTATACGTCGCTGATCCAAAGTAGCAAGAAAAAGCATTCTAGGGAACTTTGGGGAAAAAATGATTGAAGCAGCTAAAGATAAAAACTCATCCCTTTTTTGGAAATTAATTTCAGTTAGACTCTCGGGCCCTAAAACGCCAATATCTTCATGTATACCACCAGACAGATGGGTTTCTTTTTTTCCCCAGAATTGTATGACGATGCAAATCAGCCTCTTTCCTCAACAGTATTAGAAAATATTCCTAAATTGTCTCCTGTAACTCCTGATGAGATTAAATCTCATATAGATCATTTGAAAAATGCTAAAGCCCCCGGCTATGATGGTGTCCCCCCTGAATTTTGTGGATTTTAAATCTGCATTTGACTCTATATCTAGAGTGGGATCATGGGATAAATTAACAAATTCATCCATTGACAGAAGACTTCTATAACTTATAAGGGCCTTACATGAACAAACTTTTTTGAGGGTCAGATGCAGTAGACAAGGACATCTTACTGAACCTATCCAAACCTTTAGAAGGGTCAGGCAAGGCTGTCTCCTAGCACCGGCCCTATTTATTTATTATATAAATAACCTACCCAGCTGGCTCAGCTCTTCTGAACTTCAACCCCCTAGCCTCGCCAACAGAATGATTTCAGTGTTATTATATGCAGATGACATGGTGCTACTCTCCAGAACACCTGTAGGGCTAAGGAGAACCTTCAGGAAGCTCTCCTCATACTGTGAATCAGAATCTCTTATAATTAACTATCAAAAAACTAAGATTGTTGCTTTGGGGCCTAGACAGAGGAATCGGACTTGGATGATCAATGGCCAGCATACTGAGCAAGTGACCAACTTTAAATATCTCTAGGTAGTTCTAAAGGCAACAGGCTCTAGATTCCATCACAGCAATTATTCTGTAGGCCAAAGTGAAAGATCTGCAAATGGTATATGTAAAATTCCATCATTCACAAGGGGGATCACATGTTCCCGCTGCTCTGAAATGATATAAAACTAAGACGCTAGGACAATTGTTATATAGCTCATTTTGGGGGCCGCCCAGCTCACATTTAAAGAGTTCAATCTAAATTTTTAAGAACTATCCTACAAGTCCCCAAATGTGTATCAAATGCCAGAGTAAGATTAGAGACAAGATGTTTAAAAGTCGAGGCATGGGTTAGTATTTTATCTATTTACACATGGCTAAAGGGACAGCTTAGCCCACAAGGTCTACTCCCTCTGATTTACACTGATACTTTCAATCAAACTGGTGCAAAGCAGTTCAAAGCTACCTTTTCAGGATTGGCCTTTCCCCTCAGCTGCTTCTGTTGTGTGAAATGGAACAGGCAAAAAAAATAGTGAAGCAAAGAATTAAGGACATCAAACATCAAACTGATATTGCTAGCATACAAAATATTATGAGGGCAAGTATTAAAAATACAGTTGAGCCAGCGGATAATCTAACACCCTTGGAAGTAAAAGGGCTCAGAAGAGCCTTCTTAGCTAGATGCTCTGCCCTCCCTTCCACTGTACTTGATGGGAAGTATAAGAATATTCCTTATGCGGAAAGGCTTTGCACCTGTTCACTCAGGGAGATAGAGACCTTAGAACATATGTTCTTCAAATGCCCACACTATGAGGTGGTGCATAGAGAGATTATCACCCCACTGATAGGAAAAAAATTGGGTCTGTCGGAAAAAAACTAAACTATGTTGCAAAGAACTGGTCAAGAGCAGTTTGAGAAACAGATTTAGAGCTGTATAGAGTTCTATAGAAGTTTTAAAATATTCTGGTAATTTTGTCTGATTTATAATGTGATGTACCAATGTTGTCTTTCAGCATCATAATGAGTCTCAAATATTGGAGTTGTTCGACTCTTTTAGTGAAGAACTTCAGAAATTTGGGAGTGAATGCTGTTTAGAATAAAGTATATTTTTGTAACTATGTCATCGCTAACATTTCAAGATTTCTACGCTCTGCCAACAGTTTCTTATATATTTTCTTGCTGCCAGTTTGTTTGTGTTGACGTTCCAATGATGAGATAGTGTGAATAAGAGTAGATCTCACCTGTTGTTTCTGTTTCTTAATATAGGAGGCCTTGGAGATTAAATGGCCATGTAGAACTAGTTTAAATGCAGCCCAAATCATGTCTGGGGAAGAAAATTCTGGAGGATTGTCTGCAAAATAATCTTGAATGTTACCTTCAATATCTACTGCCAACAAGTTTTTCAGCAATAAAGAATTGTTCATATTTCAAGTTGGGGTTGTGATGTTATTGTTGTGTAAGGCTATAGTACAAGTGGGTGGGTAGACCTGTTCTTTGGAGGCCAGGTCTAGCAAAACAGTGGAAAGGGGCAGGTAGACCTGTTCTCCAGAGTTCTGGTCTGCTCCCATACAGGACAACATTTTCTGTAATGAAATTTGACTTGATTCTGTTTTCTCTTATAAATGTTTAAATTATTCTTTAAAAATAGTTTGAATATAGTTTAAATTAATTGGGGGGTGTGGCGTCGGTCTCAGAGAAGATGGACGTCTAAAGGGTGAGCTCAGTTCCTCCCCCATTACAAATCTGAAATAAACAGCATTTCTTCCCATGTTTTTGGCACCAATAGTATGGGCAAAAAAGACACTAATGAACATCTACCCTCCAATCTCTCAAATACACAAAATATAAGCTATTTTTAAAAGAAAATGGTAGTGGCATGATCCGCCGCTAAAACAGACAAAAGGGCGGCTGAAGCGGGCTCTTCAAAGGCAGTTCAACTCTCTCAGTCTGAGGAATGCTTAACGGCTCGTCTTCAAGCCATGGAGCACAAATTATTAGATAACATGGCAGCACTTATAAAACCGCTCTCAGACCAATTTTCTGAAATTAAAATAACACTAGAAAAAATGAAACAAACTGCTGAGGGTGCCATGGAACTAGGAATGCTATTTAAGGAAGACTGTCAAGTGCTCTACACTGAAAATGCCTGTCTACAGGATCATGTCACAAATTTAGAAATGACTGTATGGCAAAGCAATCTCAAATTTCGGGGTTTCCCTGAGAAATTGGATCTAGAAAGGGATTTACCTATCTTTCTTTTGAGATGGCTGGCCCGTGAATTGGAACTAGAGGATGATATAGCCCTGCTGATATCCAAAGCAAGCAGGATGAGGTTGCCAGCAAATCCCAATCGCGAGGGTCCTAGAGACATTTTGGCTACTCTCCCTAATGCACAGACCAGGCGAAAAATCCTTGAGACAGCTAGATTTCGAGGCTCCCTTTCCTTTAATGGC